TTTCGGCGAGCGTTCGCGGCTCGTCGACCGGCCGGTGCTTGGGCGATTAGGCGGCGGGCGTAAGACGCCCGCCCTTCGCCGGATCGTTTGATCGGCGGCATCCGGCGGTCTTAGCCGGGGAACGATGCGGCTTCGGGGTGCATCGTTACAGTCTTAACCAACACCCTGTCATTCGCCACATTATAACCTGACGAATTCGCATACCGACTTATGAACGGACCAGGACACATGGCAGTCACCGCCGGAGAAGCCGTTCATGTTATCAAGTGCATACCAGTCGAAGTCACCGTCAGAAAAACCGACGAGTGTTATAACGAACTACCTATCACCGCGCGGAACGCATCTTTATTCCTTACCCCAAAATCCCGCATCATCACCCGATGGGAACCGGAAACGAGCGAGAGCGCTCAACCGACCTTCCTACCTTATACCGCATAGAAAACACTTGGATCCAATTTACCCCGAAACCACAAGTCCTTCAACTACCCCCACAACAAATGAAACCATTGACTAAGTTGTCATGGAATTACACGAAACCTGGCCCCTTAGCCATATCGGGGATATATTCTGAAAACGATATAGAAAAATTAAGAGATTACATAATGTTCTCCGCAGAAAAGCCAGCTTTGTTAAACGATATCGCTCGACGCCTTTCTGGCCACAGCGTTAATCCAAATTCCTTTTCTACTTATAATTTATTAGACGAAGCAGCTTTAAATAAAATTGCAGAAAGCGCAGCCTCTCGCGTGGTTTTATTAATTTCGGATCAGCCACTGCCGGAATTATGGGAATCATTATCATAAGAATTATCAAAGCTTGCATAGATACTCTGATACACGGTTACGCGCTACATACTGTCTACGGTAAGACATGGAACAAAAGTCTATAGGACCAAAATTGTAGCGCTCATCGAGATCTAAAAGAAGTTATAATCAAAGATTCAAAAATGTATAATTAATAAGAAATAGGTTATATCTCGAAAATTATAAGACTTAGACAAAATTGAAAAAGCTTCAATTTTGCAAT